CCACCCAGAGAGTTGTGGCACACTCAATGTGGAACTACAGCGACGACGAGTGGTATAGTGTGGTTGAGGCTCGAGACCCAGAAACGGTTCATCTCCTGTCCTCTAACGCTCAATGCAGACCCGACCACTCGGAATGGGCAAGCGGGGAGAGAGGTTGTCTTGGCCCTTCGGGCTGAGCTGCCTCTACACCAATGCTGCGGCAGTAACACCATTCTGTCGTATGTTGAGGTGCGACCACCCTCATCTTGAGAATCAAAACGCCCGATAAGGCAGAATAGGCTAGGTCCAGGACGTTAAAGATCCTCATTGTCCTTTTTAGGACGACCGAGTACACGGGAATGTACTGTCATGCATAAAAATATAACGTCGCCAATTAGTCGCATATAAGAAATAAATTCTTCTGATAACACTTCTTTAATGTATCGCACAGCTGTTAGGGAACGCTCGATGAAGATCTTGTTTGTACGACCTCCCATAGCCTGCCAAACTCATAACAATACCAACCTCCATAGCTTTTCCGTCGCAAAATTGTTGCGGGGGGTGTATTGCTTTCCTGTTCTTCTGCAAACCTCTCACACGGCTATCAGAAGACCTCAAAAAAACCTTGACTCATCGGGAAAAAAAAGATTTTAGTTCAATCTTGGGCAGACCAATTGTGTTTTCATACGTTGTCAGAAGTTCTGGACCAATGGCAGGCCTTCTCACGCGTAATACAGCTTCTGAAAACCTTCGCCTTATATTGCGTGAACTGACATTAACATTTCTAACTTGCTGAAAGCTTGATTTCAACAGCAATAGAATGTCGATTAAGGACTATATTCAAAACAATAAAACGATCGATCTGAGATGTGACACTATGCTGACCAGATCCATGCCGTCTTGAGTAATCTCCAGTAGCTTGACACTTCGGACAGTTATTCTTGAAATATTGCCACATACACTTGATTTAGTTCATCTTCCAACAATGCTATGATTCTACCCGAATCTCTATCACTTGAAACCATCACTGATACAAATTTGTATTCCGATGGCGAAAAATTGAGTACCCTAATGAGATTGAGCAATAGCAAGTACTCCACCAACCTAACTGATTGTTATATAATTTGTAAAACCTTTATTTAAGTGTGAGTGGGAGAGTGAGTAGTTTTAGTTTTTAAGAAGTGATTGCGTTGGGGGCTGAAATGGCTCAGCATTTGGCAGTCCCTAGGCCGTACCTCGGCGCCTGGAACGATTATGAAAGAAATAAACAAAAATATTGGAAGTTCCATTTCTAAAGCCATCCTTGACCACAGCTTACGCTGGACATCTCTCCGATGATAGAGCGGATCACGCATGTTCCAAGATCCTGCTCCTCAACAGTGCTTATCAATTTTTCGCAAACCATCGAAATGAAAACGAAACGAAAAGGTAAGCAAAAAGCAAAGAACGTCGTTAAACAACGGTGAGCGTTTTATGTCACGGTTGACAGTTGAAGTCGAAGTAACAATTCGGCCGAACAGGACTGGAAAAAGGGCGAGGTCTGAACCCGGACTTCCAAAATCCGGAGTGGGTGATTTTCGCGACCTGCCGGTAATTTCGTGTATATTACACAAATGCTGGAACTTCTAGTGGACTAGGAGAAGTGATAGGCTTAACTCTGTATATGCGTGCTCGTGGAGCTTTGAGGTTGTATAAATCATTAAAGAAGCGTAACGTGCGTACTTACGGAATTAATTTCAATCATTAAAATTGTTTATGGTCCTCAGTTAATAGACGGGTGTTTGGATTTTTCATACTATTTCTCATTTCGGAAAATATATTTTCACACACCATGTCTCCCAAAAATATTTGTTTTTACAGTAATACTTGTAACTATCTTAAAAAATTGAAATTATACAGTATGGAAAATGACAAGGAATCAGTAAAAAAAGAAGTTACTAATACGTTTTAGATTCACTATTAATGTGTAATGCCAATTATACGCTTATCGGCTATTTTGTTATATTTTCTTGTCTGATGGTAGTCTACACTTTATTAGATAACTTCGTTATTAAGATTACAGACCATTAATCTGATTTTGTTGTATTTTTAAAGTTAATTCCAAATAGTTCAATCAAAATTAAAGGATAAAAGTCCTTACGATTGCTTCGATCGAACTAGGGTAAAAGTTCATCTAGTTCCGACGCAATCCTGCTGACAAACAGTGTTAACAGGAATTGGGTTTCTTTTCTACGCCGATCCGTTTCCCTGGGCGAAGGGGGTGCCAATTGTCCAAATTGATGAACTAACAACTCAATTGTTCGGTCTAAATTGTCTAAAAAGAAAAGAGGTATTGCGTGAAAATTGAAGAGACGGTTACAGCTTTAATCAAATAACGTCTGATTACCAGACTGAACGTTGAAAATCCCAAAGCACGAAGTTTTACTCTCCTATAAAGAGAAACGAACAAACTAAAATCTATCAACGTAAAAAATTACAAACCTATTTTATCCAGAGTCAAGATTCTTTTGAACTCCTTAAATTCATTAGATTTTGTGGTCCGATTGATTAAATAACTTCTTTCAATTAATTAATCTTTATGCAAGCTATTGGTGTAAGATAAAAAATCCAGTGTCAAGAGAGGGATCCGAACCCACGTCTTTCGGCTAAATACGCCACTTGAGACTAAAAATGACAAAAAGGATGGAAAATTCGAAAGGTTGGGTTGAGACGGGAAGTTAGTGTCCGAGTGGATCGAAATCACGATAGCTCAGATGGTTAGAGCAGCAGCGTATTTAGCCGAAGGTCGTGGGTTCGAATCCCGCTCGTGGCACTGGCTTTTTTATTTCAACCAATACCTTACATAACGATTAATTAATTGAAATTCAGTTCAACTTTATCATTTTCGATTTAAATAAATTAACACAATTTTTTATATTCTCAATCAGAACAATTAGCCTCAGTGGGACTTTTAGAAACTTGAACCTGTTACTTAATCGTTATTCTACAAGCCTTCGATGTTCAAGCAATATCTTCAAACTTTTTGAAACGAGATTACGTGCCAGCCAGGGTTCTTCTAGTCCGGACAGATCAGCCCGGATAAGGTTATTAAATTTCGCAAATCACATAATTTGATCAATTGTTCTGAGCGAGGTACGCGTAAAATCTTCTTTTCGGATAACTACAGATTTTTCCTGACGTGTTCTGATATCCGTGAGATTTTGTTAAAGAACAGCGTCAAAGCGTAGAGCGTTTTCAGTTCAGTTTCTTTATCGTGCCAACGTTTCGATCTTTATTGAGATCATCTTCAGGGCACAAAGCGTTTGTCTTCTGTGTAATTATGTCATTCTTACGTGCCATACACAGAGGGCACTCTCAACACGACACGCAAGAATGGCACTATTACACAGAAGACACACTTTGAGCCCTGAAGATGATCTCAATAAAGATCGAAACGTGGCACGATAAAGAAAATGTTTTTCTGAAACCTACCTCACACCAGACCGCATCTCACGATCTCTGAATAACCATCGATTAACGATCACTAATCACCATATGTTTTTAGTACAGATAAACTAAAATGGTGATGATATGGAAGGTCTCAATTTTTATGGTAGGTCGTACCTAATTTGTTCTTTTTGTGTCTTTAATTGGTGACGGCGTGACAATGCTAAGCCTGTAATAGCTATGATCATTTCTGACTATTTATATCTACCCCCATGGAATGATAGAGAATTGGCCAGGATTAAAAATAGTCTGGTTCGAAAATATTCCATATCATTTTAGTCAACACTCATAAAATCCATGCCTATTATTATAATGCTTAATCCGGCGAACTGTAAAATTAGGTTAAAAGTCTTGATGTTGGGCATTTCACACCTTCATGGTGAAGGGTAGATGATATATTCCTGTCGAAAGACTCTGAATGGTTTCTTTTATTTCAAATTAGTCTTATCCCCGATATTTAATAGAAAGTATTTAATATATAAAACAAACTAATTTCAGTAAAAAAATGCCGAAATGCGTCTCGCTGACCAAGTTTTCGCAGGACAAAATTAGTGGTTCATCACCGATCATCGATTACAATGACTTGTTTTCCTCAGCACCGTTTTGTTTCCATAAAAATTAAATTATTTTAAGAAATGTGTGGTGATTAGTGGCCGTCAGTCTATGATTATCCGGAAATCGAGAGACCTCATCTCACGATTTCCGAATAATTATTTTAAGAATTAGTTTTGGTAGTGTTATACTGTTTGGCCCGAATTGAAAATTTGTCTGGTACGAAAATATTCCATAGCATTTTAGTCAACACTCATAAAATTCATGCCTATTATTATATTTTTTAATCCGTCGAACTATAAAAATAGGTTCAAAGTCTTGACGATGGGTATTTCACCCCCTCATGGTGAAGGGTCGATTAGCCTTATCCCCGATATTTAATAGAAAGTATTTAATATATAAAACAAACTAATTTCAGTAAAAAAATGCCGAAACTCGTCTCGCTGACCAACCAAGCAAGTTTTCGCAGGACAAAATTAGTGGTTCATCACCGATCATCGATTACATAGAATCTGGTTTTCCTCAGCACCATTTTGTTTCCATAAAAATTCAATTATAATAATAATTAGTTTTTGTAGTGTTATACTATGATTATATTTGTGAAAAGCAAGATTTATTTATTCCAACCATAAATGACCCATACTCTCAGCGGAAATACATTTCATACTCCTAGTGATTAGTTTGAAGTATATTGATTTTACGTTATATAATGACAAAACAAAATGTACTCTTACGATAATATTTAACTTATACAATTATATACAGTGCTTTACATATAATTTTACTAAATTCTTCCAACCATGAATGATGGGTCAATTTCCCTAACAGAGACATTAATTGGCGTGAACACATTTTTTTTTGTCTAAGCTGATAGTTTTTCTATGGGTTGTTATTATATGAATTTCCGGATGTATTTTGGCCCCGAGGGGAATAATTAAAATAGCCACATCCTCATCAAATTCAGTAAAGCGTGGAGGGCGTCGTAATTGCATTTATCGGAAAGCATCAGTTGCTCGCCTCGTTTGCCACTGGGCAGGCCTGTTATTAAAATATGCATAAAATGTTATTTACGCGCTAGAAAAGAAAGTACGGCGATTGAGGTGAGTATATTGACAATAACAAAATCGCTAAACAATAATATAGTTAAAATTGGATTCTGTAAATTAAGCAGTGCGTTGAACTTAAAAAACTGAACTATTCCTATTGAAGTGGAACAACTTCTTAAAAAATTAACAGTTTTTGGTTGGTCTTTCTTCCATTTATTTTTCAAATTTAATATTTACATACAGAGAAACATGAGATGATATATACTGAGCGGTTTCTTCTCAGAGGTCTGCCGATATGATTAAGTAGTTTGGTCTGTTTTGAGCATTTTGGTCTGCAGTGTTTCAAATTCTTCCTATCATTGATGATGACGACCAAAACAGCGTTGGTATGCAGCCAGAAACGGATTAGAATCGACAAAGCACGTTTTTTTAAATATATATGCCCTATTTATTCAGTTATTTGCATATATTGGGATTCAAACCTTATACAAAACATATAAGGGCATTACAAGTAATTTTATAAGAGCTGTTTATGTTAGAATTGCAAGTGATTCAAGAATTAGATCTATAAAACTCATTTTGTAAAATTTTTCAACATTTAGTATTAAACTGTTTTCAATGGACCCTCGATGAAATTAATTCAAGTTAGATTGAAACAGTCGACAATCGTCATTGGATTAATTTTTTCTTAATATTTTTAGGTCTTCGACAAAAAAGGAGAGAAATGGAATGACATATAACAGAAGGAAGAAATCTTTATGTAGGGTATTGGTTGAGATAAAAAAGTCAGTGTCACAAGCGGGATTCGAACCCACGACCTTCGGCTAAATACGCCGCTGCTCTAACATTCGAACTATAGTGGGTTGAGATGGGAAGTTGGTGTCCGAGTAGAGTGTCCAACATTGCCAAGGATTGACAGTGAATCAATTGATGAGTCTTCGTGAAATCTGACTCGTCGTATAACGGGGGTAACCCTACGAGATTATGAATACGCCATGCGATGTTGCCACACGATATTTGGGCAAAGCTTGCAATTAATTGAGGGGTGCCATTCCTTGGCTCCATATAGAGAGCGGTAGGAATGCAACTCGATATGAAAATTGTTCTTGAGAATGGTTGCATCTGGGATGCAGGTTCCACGTTTTATGGATGTTTTACTCCACATAATATTTTAAACATATATCGTTTTGTATTTATTTGTGTATTTTGAAACTGAACGTATTTATTAGCGTGAATGTGCGATAGGGTCGATGGCGGAATATTGAGTACTACATCGACCATTAATATTAGATTACTGATACAAAATGTGTGGAGGGTGATGGAGGAATATCAATTCCTTTCAGCGGAATAAAAACCTAGATCAAACAATGTCCTCTTGCCACTTTCTAAATTTGGGTGATCTGTGGTTGTTGTGAATGAAAATGTTGAGAATGAAAGTAAAGTACAACTAATATGATTAAATTACATGCCCTGGATGGGTGGACCTTCTGACTTGTGCTACCTATGTCACGCCATGCTCAGAGATGTACAATTTCCTGTTTACTGTTCCATATCATAAGAAGTTGTTTTTAGTCTACCTAAGACACAGTTTCCTTCTAGAAGCGACATAATCGTCGAAATAAAACCCAAACTGACCTCACTGTTTATAAAACATTGTATATGCATGGCAATATAGATATGATTTCTTTCAATTAATTAATCTTTATGTAAAGTATTGGTTAAAATGAAAAAGTTAGTGTCAAGAGCGGGATCCGAGTGGACTGAACTCACGATAGCTCAAGTGGTAGAGCAGCGTCGTTTTTAGCCGAAGGTCGTGGGTTCGAATCCCGCCAGTGCCACTGACTTTTTATCTCAGCCAATACCCTACGTAAAGATTAATTAATTAAAGATCTTAAAGATGTTTTTTGGTCAATCGGACCACGAAATCTAAAGGATTTAAGAAAGAAGAAAGTTAATAAAAATATTGAACAAAAGTTGAAAGAGTCCTTGACCGAAAAATATCTTAATTTGCACAGATTGATATTCTCATATTATCCTGATATCCTCCTAGTTTTACTAGTTGGACACAATGTGACAAATAGTTTGAAACCGAAGATAAGAGAAGACCAGTGATACGTTGTGCTTAAAGTTTTGAAATTAATATCTATCTATGGAAATGATATCAATTTGTTTCTTTTTCAATTTCCTTGGATATTATTTCTGTCATTATTAGTAGATTAGTTAGGGTGGAGCGAATTTTATTTCACACCTGGCAAAATGGGGTTTGAAAGCTTCGGAGGAACAGGACGAAAAATGGGCAAAGAGTAATGTTTAAGGAAACATTTTAAACAGCTGCTTAAAAAAAGTGTAATGAATTTGGATGGATATTATGTAATTTTAGAGTAGCTAATCTACCAGATCAATACAGCAAGAACAGGAAGATCAAAATCATCGGAATCGCCCATACCAATGGTTTATTACCCAGGTGTTATCGAACAATAAAAAAAATCATGTTTAAAAATTATTTAATCTTATTTTTAAAAAAAAGTAATATATCCAAAACATTATTGCTGATTCATTATTTAATCTTGAAAAATTGAATTGTCTGTTTCGTTGTTTATGATTCTGATATTATGCGGGTGCTCTGACAGTTGAAGTGCAGTTTCAGCAATCAGCATGTTAATTTCTAATTCGAGAAAATATGTAAAAGATAAACCTTGACATTTCATGCATTATGACCAGATAAGGGTCAATGTTTACTGCTAAAAGAGAATAAAACCGCCGCATGTTTGCGAATTTATTAACCTTTTCGACGAGAAACTCAGTGGTTGGGTCTGGCTTATAAAACTATTTCACCCATTGTTTCCATACAGATTTCCATCGTCTGCGAAACTAACAGAAGGACGATGTAAAAACGCGGCCGCTACGAAGTAATTGCCTTCGCCGGGGTGGAGTTAATAGTTCCAATATCTATTTATTGACCGGCCACGGTAGCAGAGCGTATCATCACAAACCATTATAGTTAAGGGAATTGCGGTTTTACAGCATTACAAAAGCCGGGGTTATTACCGTCATGCTTTATCCTCCCCCCGCGTTCAAGAACCAGTCCGAGGGGAAGAAGCCGGGAAAGGAGAGTCGTAGGGAAAAAAAAGGAATGCGTACCACACGTGGTACCCAGCTGGGTCGTGTGCCGTCCGACAACACCTACATGAAAATAAACTCGAAGGAAAAAAAAAGAGAAAAAGGAAAAAACGTTCCTTACTCCACTTGGCTTTGCATATTTCTTATTTACGATCGGGAGGGTTGTAACGAATGCTAATGCGACGGATGAGATAGAATTCTTAAAATAGACAATGTCACAGGTTGAAAAACATGGCACAATGTATACACGTTTAAATTGCAGCCGTATGAGTTCTGCAAGGCACGTGTTAAATCTGCACAAGTAGCCTAACTTAAACAATTTCTAATTGGAGCGAAGACTACACACCCAAAGTTACTTCCTTATCATTTAAAAAATAATATGTCCTACATGAAACATCCAATTTTTTTAATATCCACTCTGAAGAGGAATGTATTAAATTTTATTGACAAATCCTCTTCGATTGTGCAGACATACTTAATTTTTTTAAATTATTTGTAAGTATTATTATTCAATTTTGAAGTATTTTAATGCGTTGTTAAGAGCAAAACCAGGTAATGAATTTGTAATTACATTTATTCTATCACTAAATGATTTTTGGTTGTGTTTCTGTAAATTGTCTTTCAAACCATCATGATTAAATATTTTTTCTTAAAACTCATGCACTTCTGATTTTGCTTAATTTGGTTTCCATTACAATAAGTATGTTGTAATTTATATAACTATAAAATGTCAAAAAGTTTGAAATGAACAACTAAATACTAGTTAGTCTTTGACTATGTACAAGGAAAGTGGGAGAAAGATAGAAATTGTAGGTAAGAGTGATAATGAGATCGAGAGAGAAAGACAAACATAGAATTAGTGAGAAAGGGGTGTTATATAAACGTGTTGGAGCAGGAAAAAAATAAGTAACTGAAGGATAGAATACTGAAAATGAGAGAGAGAGAGAGAGAGAGAGAGAGAGAGAGAGAGAGACTGTGAGAGAGTAGAGAAAAAGAGATAATAAAGAAAAGACAGAGCCAGAAAATAGAGAGAGACAAAGAAAAGGGAGATGANGAGAGAGAGAGAGAGAGAGAGAGAGAGAGAGAGAGAGAGAGAGAGAGAGAGAGAGAGGAGAGATAACAATAGAAACAGACGGAAAATACGCGTGTCGTTTATAAAAAATTCCAAATGATACGAACCCATAAGTACTAACATACAGTTATGATGTTTACACGAGGGGTAGAATTTTTATAAACGAAAAAATGTATACAAAGTTAGCGCAAAAAAATTGACAAAAATTTAAAAGCTAAATAATCCCTGTTGTTCAAGAAAAAACTATGTATATGTTATTGAGTCTACCCGTGTTTTTACATTAGATGTATTAACAGTATGATGATTTATTTTGGACAATATAAACTAGATTTATATGTATTTAGATATATTTTTTAGTTAATGCACATTCGTTTGTAATGATTTAATTTCCATAACCTTTTAGTTTATGATTTTTCAGAAATCGTGAGATGCGGTCTGTGTGATGTAGGTTTCAGAAAAACATTTTTTTTTATCGTGCCAACGTTTCGATGTTTATTGAGGTCATCTTCAGTGCTCTCGTTGACACGATAAAGAAAATGTTTTTCTCAAACCTACATCACACCAGACCTCATCTCACGATGTCTGAATAATCATCTACTAACGGCTACTAACCACCACACACTTTAAGTTTATTTTATTAAAAATTTTGTATTATCTGTTGAATTCAATAGAATTTTTGAAATAATAGTTTTGAGATTTTTTAAATTTGCTGAAACAATAGTGAATAATTAGTTTTGCATATTTTTAATAATAAAAAATCAACTAGAAAAATTCCTCTTAATCTTTTTTCTGGCTATTATGAACTAGAACCAGGTATTAACGTTACATTTTCTGATGTCAGTATTTATAAACACGTTGTGCA